TCAAACCAAAAAACCAAACCCTTGACATCTAGCTGATTCCGACTCATAGTGGCCCTACAGTACAGGGTAGAACTTAGAACTGCCCAGTAGGGTTTCCAAGGAGCGGCTGGTGGATTCGAACTGCTGACCTCTTGGTTAGCAGCTGTAGCTCTTAACCACTAGAACCCCTTAAATCCTGACTTTCCCAGCCAGGCCTTGAATCCACCTAGGATCACAGCTTTCGAGTACTATGATTTTATTTTCTTCCACTGAAAAGCGCAGTTTGTATTTCAATTTACTGCCTTGGAATGCCCCTTTGGGTGATTCCAACTCAGCTCTGTAGAATCTTGAAGTACAAGCCTGGGTGAGACCCATCCGGCCCCACACACTGAACACTGTGGCCTCCCTGCTAAGCCCGATTTTTCGTAATCTTTTTGTAAACTGTATAAATAGAAGATACCCTGAAGACGGCTGTTGCTATCTCCGCCTTTGGGTCGTTAAGACCTTGCAACGATTCCATCTGCACCGCATTTAACCAAGGAGAAAATCACATAATTTAAACTATTCCTGGACAGTCATATCCCAGTCACATTAAACGAAGAAAAATCCCCCTTGCTTTGCGCTTGGAAGAAGAATCGACACAGTCAGAAAACAAATTAGATCAGGAAAATGACAAAAATTAGAGACTGGAGAACATTTTAATTACGCGCAAAGGAGAAATGGGTTATTAATTTTTTTAAAATCTTGATCGTCCCCTACAAGGTGAAATAAATAGCAACATCCTCCTCTTCCTCTCCCCTCCCCCCAAAAATGCACCCTGATTCACAAAACATCCCCTCTTCTCCACTTGGGAAGAGAAGGAAAAAGATCTGCTTTTCCCTAGGACGCACTTGTCCATTCTTTGTCCTGCAAATTGTCTCTAAGTGCATCAGCTTTCCCAGCAGATGCAGCAAGGGGGCCCGAGGTGAGGTGGGCGACTCAGTGTCACGGCCTTGGGGCTCACGAAATCTCCCCAGAGCAGGTCTGCACCCTGTCTTTTCCAGAGCAGCTGGCCAGCACCCAAGAGTTCTGGGAGAGGCCTCGGAGCACCAGATGCCAAGGCCCAGCATTACGTCCAGCATTACACTGACTTGCTGTGTGACCTTAGGCCAACTTCCTAACCTTTCGGAGCCTCAGCTTGCTCTTCTGGAAAATGGATTTATACTAGTTAACGTCACCTCCCAGAGCAGCTGGGCAGGTTAGTTGAAGGGCCTGGCACAGGGCCTGGCAGGTACTAAGTGCCCAGCTAATACTGGCTGTTACTATTATAATCACTATTCAGTTCAATTTGATGCCTATTTATCAATTACTGGGGCATCATCCATGGTCCGGGGTGTCAAGGATGAGCAGAAGGGGCATCTCCAGGGGCTGCGTTCTCAAATGCAAAGCTGACCACATCACACCGCTGCTTGCAATCCTTGCCGTGGCTCTTCTGATGAAGTCCCTAGATCATGTGGCCCTGCCTGGCCTGCCTCTGCCACCCTCCAGCCACACAGGCCGGAGGCCATTGGCTAATGGGGGCTGGGCTCTTGTTTACAGCCACCCAATTCCAAACACTTTACAAGGGTTATCCTGTTTACTGCTCACCAGCTATGAGCCAGGCATTATTACATGTCCCATTTGAAGGCTGCGTGGCAGAAGTTAAGGGCCTTACTCAGCATGGCAGAGAGTGAGTGGCAGAGCTGAAACCAGACCTAGGCTGCCTGGCTCCAGGGCTCGGCACCTTCGGCCTGGACCCCTTTGCCTTCCTCTCCAGCTGGCTAAAACTGACGTGCCCTTTATCACCCAGAACAAGCCAGAGAGGCCTTGATTGGGGGCCTGCATTCCAGGGTCACATGGAGAGCCTGGACATCCCCTGAGGCAGGGCCGGGGTCTCCCTGACTCACCCCAGTATGTCAGCTCCAGCACCCGCCAGCACTGGGACCCTGAGCAAGTGGCTTAACCTCCCAGAGACTCTGTTTCCTCATCTACAACACAGAAAGAAAAACAGCGTCTACCTCATATGAAACCAAAACCTAACTCGTTGCTGTTCAGTCAGTTCCGACTCACAGCAACCCCACAGGACAGCGCAGAACTGCCCCATAGGGTTTCCAAGGAGTGGCTGGTGGATTTGAACTACCGACCTTTTGGTTAGCAGCCGAGCTCTTAACACCGAGCCACCAGGGCTCCTACCTCATATAGTCGTGACCGTTAAACTAGCTGACATGTATAAACTGCTTACGGAGTAAGTACTCATTAAATGTTAGCTATTATTATTATACTATTATTGTCCCCAGGGCCTATCACAAATACTCCATTAATATTTAATTACTGAATGTGTGGATGAATAGGTGGATGGATGGATGGATGGATGGATGGAGAGAGAGATAGAGAGAAGGACTGATGGAGCGAGGAGGGAGAGATGGGGAGGGAATGATGGATGGATGAATGGATAGATGGATGGACAGATGGGTGGATGGAGAGATACATGGATGGATGGCTGAAGAGATGGATGGGTGGATGTAGAAATGGATGGATGGATGGATGGATGGATGAATACATGGATAGATGAACGAAGAAATGGATGGATGGATGGAGGGAGGGAGGGAGGGAGGGAGGGAGGAGACAGAGAGAAGAAAAAACAGAGATGGGGTGAGGGAGGGAGAGATGGGGAAGAGACGGGCTGATGAATGGATGGAGAGATAGAGAGATGGATTGATGGAGAGGAAGATGGAGGGAGGGAAGGAAGAAGAAAGATGGGGAAGGAAGGGAGAGACGGAGGGATGGAGAGACTGAGGGATGAGGGATGAAGGGATGGATGGACGGACAGAGGGTGCGTCTTGCCAGACTCTTCTAGCGCCCAGCACAGCCTGGAGAGAGTGAGGGTCAAGAGGGCTCAGCTACAAGTTGAAGAGGCATTGCCCCCTCCCCGCTTACCCACCCCACAATCCTGCAGGAGGCTGTCCAGGCTAAGCACAACCCTTGTGAAAAGGGGCTCCCGGGAGCTTCTGCCCACCCCTGCCCACAGAAGCTGGGGCCCACAATATGGGGGAACAGCTCTGCACCAGGGGACCCAGCCTAAAAAAGCAGCGGCAAGGCATCCCAGGAGGCGCTCGGCAGTGAAGTGCTGCATTTCACATAAAGGGGATTTGCAACGGGCCTTGCTTGGAGGAACCAGGGAAACTGGGAACGCAGAGCCGTCTTTTAATGCCCATTTAATATTTATGGAGCCGCAGCAGCCTGTACGTCTCCGTGCCTAGAGCGCGAACATTCTCCGCCGTGCAGCCGAAGCGCGGAAGGGAGCAGCACTTCCACAACAGACGCTGTGAGCCAAGAGCCATCTACACCTGGTCCACAAAACAGCAAGCCCGGCCCCGCAAGGCAGCAACGCCGGGACCTGCTGTGCTAAGACCCCCCAGGATCAGTGACCTGGAGCAAGTCACACACCGGGCCAGTCTCTGGGGCCTCCTCAGGCTGAGATTGAAAAATAAAATTCAATTTAAAAAATAAAAAGGAAAGAAAGAAAATGGAACTGCAGAGAATTGTTGTTAGGTGCCATCAAGCTGATTCTTACTCATGGTGGCCCCTCGTGTTCAGAGTAGAACTGCTCCATGGGGTTTTCAAGGCTGTGGCCTTTTGGAAGCACATCTCCAGGCCTTTCTTCCGATGACTCTGGGGGGGTTCAAACTACCAGTGTTTAGGCTAGTCCTTGAGCACTTTACCGTCTGCACCACCCAGGACCTCCTCTACAGAGAGGAGGGGGGAATTAATTAATTAATGCTTTTACTCTTCAACAAATAGTCACCATGGCCTCACGCCAACACGTTCCAGATGCTGGAAAGATCCACGAGAAAACAAAGGGGTCGCTGCCCTCAAAGAATTGGTGTGGGGGGGAGTGCAATAAAGTAAACACATAAATAAATAGAAATGATCCTTTCAGGTAATAATATGTACCTGGAAGAAGACAAAGGAGCCCTGGTGGTACAGTGGTCAAAGTGCTTGGCTGTTAACTGAAAGGTCAGTGGTTTGAACCACCAGCTGCTCCGCAGGAGAAAAGACCTGGCAATCTGCTCTCGTAAAGATTACAGCCTAGGAAACCCTACAGGGCAGCTCTACTCTGTCCTGTAGGATCAGTAGGAGTTGGAGTCAACTCGACAGCAATGGGGAGGGCAGGTAAGAAGAAGACAGGGCA